GATCGGTGTAATGGTAATTAGTCCATTGACTAGATACGATTATTAATAATTACACTTGTTAATTAGGATAAGTGATGCACCTTTGCGTCAACAAAATAAAACTTACTACAGGTATTGTCATTTAACCGAAATTTCGGTGGATCATTAGGAAAAGGAAAACAAATCTCCAACATTTATAAAATAATTTAATTGGATTACGTTATTTTTTTTTATTTTTTTTTTCACAAGTTTAAAAATTTAATTAAAGTTTAACCGCAAATGTCATTAAATATTATATTACATAAACAAATAAGGACATAAACAAATATTACTTTGTGTAACTACATATTGAACATTTTATTAAATAAAACATTTATTATTTATTTATTTTTCATAGGTTTTGTAAAATTTCAGCATTCTCCATCGGTGCTCGATTCAATTAATTGATGTATTCCTTCGATGAAATTGGCGCTGGTTTTAGGAAACTGACGCTATTGTTTTCGTCATCGTATTTTCTTCTGACTTAAAACCATCTAGTTTTTCACAATATCTACATATGTTTTCACTTAAAAGATTTAAGGAACATATATAAATCATTTATTTAGTCTAGTTATTTTATTTATTTTTATTTTTTTTATATTTTATCACTAAAATTGGTTACCTATAAAACATATTTAGCGATTCTTTCCAATTCTATTTAGTTATTAGTATATTTTTGTTTTTACCAATTGTAATATTGTACCAGTATTGTTCCAATACCCTCCAAAACTATGTATATACTCATTTTACTACTTAGATTTTAAATACTCTTTATTATAATAGATATCTGGCCAGATTTGTTGTCAATTGATTTGAATAATATTGTTATTCCAAAGGGACCTAGTCCCAGAATAAAGATGTTTTTCTATTCTATTCTATTCTATTTAAAACCTAATCGTCTTGTTATCTTGCAAATAAAGGAATTCTACATAATATAAAATAAATAGGATAATATTTTTTTTCAATTTCTCAAGACCTCAGCTCCTTTTAGAAAATATGCTTTTTTTTTAGGAACATATTTATGAAGACTATATAATTTCTTTTATAACTAGTAATTCTAGCTTCGAATTTATAAATTAAGTTAAGACTAGTTTTTACTAAACAACCTTCTACATAATTTCCATCTCCCTTTAAATTAAAAATTCCTATAATAATTAATATTAATGCCTGATACAAATTTGTTTCTGTAGGATTAATCAGCAAGTAAGTAGAAAGATATCAAAGATTTTTTTTTTTTTAATCAAGTGCAGCGTATGTATATTTATTCAAATTTATCTTAGCTAATGTTCTAGAATCTTCTTCACCAGTATTATTTATTTACTTATTATATTTATATTTATTTCTTTATTATTTGTATATATTGTATGAATGAGAACTTTTAGCCCTAATGCTTATAGCCCTCCAGCAGTGGCTGATTGTATTATTATTCAATAAAAAAAAAATAAAATAAAATAAATGTTCTAGAAAGGTTTCTTATACATTTGATTTTCGCCAGATGTAGTATTCAGAAGTGTGTGTGTGTGTGTGTTTGTGTGTGTATGGTTATATTTTGCTTCAAAAAGAAATAGCCAAGGCTTCGTAAAAAACAAGATTCCAAGAGTAATGTGACATGGACTATCCGGAAGGTCCCAGGCCTTGGGCCCCTGTCTTAAGTCAAAAGAATTCGATAAATAAAAATGGAAAAAACGAGCCTCTATGTTGCCTCTATGTAAAAACGGAAGGCCACGTCGTCCTATCCGAGAGATGGGATCTCAAGTCCTTCTTCTTTCCCTGGCAGTTACCGGTTTTTCGAAGTGGAATTTTAATTAACTGACGTTCTGGAGCTATTTCGGATGTTTGTTTTGTTTTTCAAACGAGTTATCTATCCTGTTTCTTCTTAGTGATTTTAAAAAATGTTTTTAAAGATATCTGATTTGCCATTGTTTAAACCGTGAAAATTCTTTTCAACAACCTTTGTACGTCAAGATTTATTTTATTAGAAAACACACACATACATATTATACATAAAATAATACATTTTTTTCTGTTGGCATTACAGACCTTGCTGATCTCATGTTGCCTTATCCAGCCTTCTCCACCTCTGCCTATCTTGGGCTATTACTTTCCAGTTACCTGCATGTTGTTCTATTTCATCTTTGTTGATTCGATCTATCCATCTGCTTTTTGGTCTCCCTCTTGGTCTTTTACCTACTATTCATTATTGTGTAGAAGCTCACAGATGAATTACAGTGAGCTACATGCTCGGCACATCTTAATCTACCTGCCTTCATGTTATGCGATACTGATTGGCCTGTTTCTATAAGCAGCTCTTTTTCTCCTCAATGTTTGACTCCAGATCGCTCCGGTTATCGTGTGGAGGATTTTATATTTTAAATATTTTTTTAAAATTATTTTCTCATTATACAGGAGTGATAGCAGAACTCGAGGCCTACAAAAAAGTTAACATAAACAATTGTCCAATTTTAAGTAGAAAGTAGGTAATCCAAGTTTTGTGCTTTTTAAGTAAGCCATGTTTTTTGTATAATAGTGAATGATAACTAAAGAAATGTTAAATTTAAGTAATTAAATTTAATTCGCTGTGAATTAATTTCAAATGTTAATAGAGTTTGTAATTATTAAAACCATATAAAAAGGACTTTTGAGTGGCTAAACTAAGCTAAGTTCTGATTTCAATATCATCATAAATTATTCGCGATACTTTCGTCATTATACAACTACACTACAGAGACCCCACTTTTAGGAAAACTTCCTCTTTTAATAGACTTTAAGTCTATATTAATTAAATGGGGGTTTAGTAGGCAAAAATTTGAGATTCAGCTCAAGTTATGTAATGAAATATCCTGATGATATTTCTAATATGTTATTTTCTATCCATTTATCTAAAAGTACTCGTGTTTCCAGCAAAAATGACCATAATTAATTGTTCCAAAGTTTTTATTAATTGTTGTTTTCCACACTCTGGAATGTATTGTAATAAAAATAATGTCTAAATAAACTTTTTACTTATGAAAATAAAAATGATTATTTTAAAAATATTTTTCATGTATAGTGGTTTTGAAGTTGTGTTTTTATCCAAAATCTCTGTCATAGGACAAAATTGATGTTTCTAGCCCTAATATTTACGTTTTCATGAAAACAATTGAAGTAATCAGTAGGTTTATTTATTTTAAACATCTGTGTTAGGACTAGAAACATTAAGTTAGTCACTGATAAATATGGATCAATTTCTGTTACAAATATCTGAGAGAAAAACACAATTTCATAACCACTTATCTGAAAAATAATTAAAAATTTATTTTTTTTATTTTTATAAATAAAATATAGATTTAGGAAATTATTTTATTACAATACATCCCAGATCATAAAAAAAAAAAAAAAAAAGGAAAGTTTTACAACGGTCTATTTAGTCATTTTTAGCTTTGGGTAATTTTAGGTGACTTGATAGATAATATCATCATTTTTTTTACACAGAGATGAATCTCAAATTTTTGCCTAATAAACCTCAACCTAATTAATATGGATTTGAACTATATTAAATGAGGATGTTTTCACAAGAGGGAGTTTGTGTGTTATAGTTAAATAATGATTTTAAAATGTATGATATTTTAAAAACATAATTTAGCTTTGTTTAGCCACTCAAAAGTCTTCTTTGAATGGTTTTAATAATGATAAACTTTATTTTCGTTTGAAGATAATTTTAATAATTTTGTCAGTGTACCATGTACATTTTCCGATCACAATGCCTGATTACAACGACTTCAAAACGAAGAATGGTAAAAGAAATGTTCCACCTCTTTGGTACAGAAATATAAATATTTGGAGGTTGCGAAATAAAGTCTAATTTTCTAATTCCAACGTAACAACTATGTTAACCATATTTCATTATGATCTTGATATACTGTTAGCTTCAGTAGATTGTGTCTTCGCGGAACAAGTTTCAGATTTAGCAAGAAACTTCCTGCAACACCATTCACTCATTTTATGGAAAGGCTACAACGGGAGTTTGCAGATTTAGAGGATCGCAAGTTAACTAAAGTTCTTACTGAATTTATTTAAAAGTGCCTCAGTAAATTGTTACGTCAGATGAGTACGTTAACAGCTTCTCAAGTCCATACGTGCTGGTAATTAAGCGGGGGAGCGGGGGATAAGGCGCGTTCTGCCTCGGACCACAATATTTGATGGAGAGGGCCAGACCCTCCAATATTTCGCAGTAATTTACATCAACAACTTTTAAAAAGTTCAATAAATCAGATAATTGCAATAATTATATTATATTATAGATAATAAATTGATTTCTGAGTTAGTTCTTTATTATGACATTTTATCCACTTCCTTCCTTCTGCACATTTAACACTGTTACATGTTACAATAAGCTTCGCCCTCCAAGTATTTACAACGTGACGGCGCTTGTGCTCAAGTCCATGAACATTTTTAAAATGGTCTCTGTTTTCAACAAATTACTCTTTCTTAATTGTTATTTCGTGAATTACCTATCTCGTGATTTAGCCTAAAATTGCCGCAACTTACCAATCATATACTTAAATATGTAATTTCTGTTCATTAGGAATCCTCGTTTATGAGCTAGCCTGTTTACTCAAGAATGCCCAATTTTGCGAGACTTGTGTGGACTCGAGATTTAAAAACGTGTGTTTCCATTGAAAACTCGGATATATTCTGTTACTTTAAAGTTCGCATATAGGAAAATAAAAGTTAAATTAATGGAAGTAATCGTAACAATTAAATGTTCAGGTAATGTTTTAACCAGCTTCAAAATTAATATTGTAAAACAGATGTAAACAGAATGATTGTCACTGTCACCTTGTTATATATTAAAACTATATTTTTCAATTAAACTAAAATTTTTATTATAATCTAATAAAACAAAAACTAACATCTATTCATTTTAAAATATGAACCTTTATTTAAAATAAGTTATTATTTACATTTTATTTTTCCGAATTATTTGCACTTTCATCGTTCTGCTAACTTCCTATTTTCTCTAATTCCGTCTTGATCTCCTGGATTCGATGAGCAATAATATCTGAGTTTTTTTTCAGCTTTTCGGGGTCTCCTATTACTTTTCCGGAATCGATGAGTTTCTTCAGTTCTTCCAGTTTATGCATATGTTCCTTGAGCATTTCTTTTTCTGCATCCGTAGCGAGATTTTTCCTTATTATGGATTGCAGACCACTGTTCCTAGCACGTGATCTGAGTGCGGAATTCAGAAATCTGAACATCTTACTGATTAAAAAGGTTCAAATTTAAAAAATTTTAAACATTTTTTATTTTTATTTTTTCCTGTTACATTTTTATAATCATATGGAACAGTATGATTTTTCTTATTATTCTATATTTATTGATACTATTATCACGACCAGATGGTATAAATGTTTAAAATAAATTTATGAAACTTGTACACTTATTTCATTAACGACAGAGGAAAGATAAATGAAACCTTACACTTGCCTTAAAACAAGAATAATTGATGAGAAGTGTCAGGGGAGATGAGCCAATATTTCTAAAAATATTTCAGGAAATTTTCCGCAATATGAAAGGTGAAATTCGTTCTTTAACAAATACAATTATTACAATGATTTTAGCAAACAAAGAAGGCTTACAAAATCTATGTTTTAAAAATTAAGTTGAATTCTCACTTTATGTATTTTTTTTATTAATTTTTGTATACTATATTTTTATTGCTAATTTAATAGTAACTGCTTCCATTAATTTTTTTTTTTTTTTTTTTTTTTTTGTAATGCAGGTAATTCTTCTTCCATTGCGCTTCACCTCCTGGAGAATCAGTCTTTCAATTGTGGACTCAATAGATACATTATGTTGTACATAGGAGTGAATGTGTTTTATTTATTTTGTTATCATTCGGCTAATCTGTTATTTCACTTATCTTATATATTAATTTATCTTTTTCTTTCTCTTCTTACTTGGATATTTTTATTTATTTTCCTTTCTTATGTACATATTGTGTGAATATAGCCGTGTGGCAGACTTTATTAATACTCAATAAAACAATAAAAACATTTATTTTCATCGTAAATAAATGTCTGCTTCCACTACATAAGCCTATCTAAGTTTGGTCTGCTTACACGCTTTTTGAAAATTCGGTACTCTAATAATTTTCTAAATAAAAAAAAGAAAAAAAAAAATCATATGTTAACACTGGTCTAATCAAGGTATTATATATAGCCCAGTCAAATTAGACGTGTTACCTTGCAAAAGACCGGCTAATTCAAATTTATTTTTTATATTGTTAGGTAGGCAGTCGCTATAAAAAAATCCAAGTTTCCACCCTTGAAAGCCGAACTTTTTTAGGTTTACGCTAAATATCTCCGTTTTAGAGTGGCATAGATAAAAAATTATTATATTCAATCTTAAACAGCTTAAAATTATCTAACATTTCTGTAAGCCAACAGGAAGCGAACTACCGAGCTTTCAAAATTTACCCATTTCGATTTCTTTACAGTGGTGCCTTTTCAGTTTTGAACAGAAGAATTTCGTAACTCCATTTTGAATCTGGTCCAGGGAATTTGGAGCTATTTCTTGAAGATAATGAGCCGTTGGCTGGGTCGGTAGATGGTAGTCGGGAGGTGTTTTGAAAATTATGTAACACGGTGGGCCAGAACCCCCAACCATGCACCCTCCCTCCACATCGCAATAAATTGCCTATAGTTGTGTTCCTTGTAACTATTTATTAAAAAAAAAGATAATCTTCCCATAAAAAAGTGGCCGAGCTGACCCAAAATGGCATATTGACGTCTTTGACTTGATTTAGTTTGTCGGTCACTGAGATTCAGAATTTGGCTTAATTTCGTCATAATTGGCCCTTCATTAAAGCTGAATAGTAAGAGAATAATAAACCATGGAAAAATATTAAAAGATAGTTGGCCTTGGTAATATAAAACACCAGTAAAATCATGTTTTTCAGTTCGTTCAAACAAAAATTGAAAATCAATCGTCTTTTGAAAATAAACGTCCAACAATAACGGAAATAAATCATATGGAGAATAAATTTTTCAACGTAAAACACTGATTACTTTTTAAAATATTTGAAGCAGTTACTTAGCAAATACACTTGATCGGCGGAAGAGCGGCACTGGCATATTTGTCTAGAGCCCTCTGGCATATCATTGACATAGTTATAGTTCTATAATGATTGTGTTATTATTTGATTGTATTAACAAACAAATATTAATAAAATAATTCAATTGTAATTTTTTTACTTTTAACTGTACCCACTTTAAAAGATCTATAGTTCTTCTGGTCGGGTTTAGAAAAAAATGTAATGTACAAAAATAATTTTAATCTGTTTAAGACCACTACAACCCACACACTGCATTCCTAACACACACTGAATACCTATACTGCATACCTAACAATATAAAAAATAAAATTGAATTACCTAACCTTTTGCAAGCTAGACCACTTTTTTTGTGCTGATTTGATAGCGCTAATATGCTCAAAGTTGTGCTAGAGATCCCTCGGTTTTTTAGGTGTTTTGAATACTAGAATAGCCTGTATTTGCAGTCACGATAAATCTCTGGATTTCTGCATTCAAATCATTGTTTACGTTCACCGGGGAGCCAAGATATGTAAATTCAGGAACACACTACAAGTAATTACCTTAAAATATTCTGTATTTTAAATGTAAAAGAAGAAATAGACTGAATTTTGTGACTTCCGACGGTATTATTATCTGTTAAGTATCTGTAATGTTTTTTTATTTTTTTGCTGGCTTAGAATGAAAGCTCAGCTGGTCGATTCTCAACTTCATTTTGATTTCATTGTAAGGTTATAAAATATTCAGAATATATATATATATATATATATATATATATATATATATATATATATATATATATATATTATTTTTTTTCGAATATGATGTTTTAGTCTTCCAAATTTCAATCGAATCTGTTTGTTAAGACTTCTATTGAAATTATATCATTAACTGAGGCAGTAGGAATAGGGCATCAATATTTAATTTTTTTTTTTTTTTTTGTCTATTAAATATGTATTTGCGCCTGTCAACAATAAGTTGACAATCAGCAAATGTGATGGCGATAATGATAAAATGACATGACAGGCATGGGGAAGGAAAGTACTCAGCAGTACCTCTTCCCTAACTTGTTCCAATTACTTAGGTTTTCTAAGGAAGGAGATCCCTCATCCAACGCCTTTTTAGTCTCCTGCTCATGTTCTGAGGTATGTCAGCTGTGGCCATGTCTCTTATAAGTCTGTTATTAGGTCCGTTTAAATTTGTGTAAAATCGTTGATATAGGATCGCGGATATTTAATTAACTTTCAATTCCGTATTATAGCGTTTTGTGAACTCTATTTATTAGTATCATTTGTTATCGTTGACAACTACTATTGGAATAAAAACAATTAAAATAAAGCCAAATCATGGATTGTTTGTGTAAAAAAGCTAAGATAAGCACATAGCACCTTCATTCCTAATAAGAATTTCATTTTTCAACAATTTGTTTCATAGCACCTTCGTTATCCAGTCATACCTTAAATACGAATAAAGAGGTTCCTCATCCAGCTTCTTTTTAGCTTATTACGTATGTCGTTGAGTTAGATTTATTATTCTTAGTAGTGTTGCCCAAAATCGGTCTTGGTCTTGTAAAGTGCAAGACCAAGACCGCCTAACTTTTGAAAGACCAAGACCAGAACTGGTAAAAAAAATCGATTTTTAAAATAAAAATTAAAGCACAATAGTTATTAAAACTTGACTATCTTAGTTACTATATATAAAGATTTGGTATAACCAATTTACTTTTGCATTTAACATTTCTAATTTTTCATTCGGGCTTTGTTAGGTTTCTTCTATCTAAAAAATTAAAGTAATATATCTATAGCAATAAGCTAACAAAATAACTGCAAGACTGTTGCGAGATTCTTGCGCAAGACCAAGACCATGACCAAGACTGAGTTTGCTTGACCAAGACTCGTCTCAGTCTCGCATTTAGGAAACACTAATTCTTTGCATAAAATTCATTGAAAATCAATAAAAAAAAGGACAATGGTAGCAGGATTTTTTTTTTAAACTATCAGCAGACTAAAAATAGTATATAAACTTAGATATCGAAAAATATACGTTTTCTTAATTGTTCCCGCAGTTTGTTGTTGTTTGTTAAGACTTTAAGACCTGAAATTTCGAGGCCATCAAAGCCTGATACTCCACCACTTGTTGCATACGGATGCAAAAAAATAAATAAATAAATGAAATTTAAAAAAAAGTCTATTGTTTTAATAGGTAAAATAGTAAAAAATCATATTCAATGAATAAATGGATACAAATACTTATGTTGCTTACTTCCTTTGTTTTTTTAAAGATTTAATGATGACTTAAAATTATAGAATTTCGCAAAAAACAAGAAGTGGTATAATACTATATAATATATATATATATTGATGTTTCCAAAAATTCTGGTAAAGTTACAGCTTTTTATAATTTTCATACTTAATTATCATTTCAAACTTTTACGCAATTGCAAAAATATTATTTACAACTCAAACGAAACTTTATGAGTTCAGTTCTAACATTTAAAGAAGGCTAATTTCTATGTATTAAACCTACATTCATTGCAAAGCTATACAATTAATTTATTTTTCACTCTGACAATGAAACCAGAACCCTTTATTATTAAAAATGGCTCTCAATTTTCGATGTTTGTCATCAGTATTATTTGCATACTTTTTTTATTAAATGTTTTGTTTCTAGTTTCACCAATGTATAAAAACGCGTTTAATGTCACTTTTCATATATAAAAAAATCACTATCAATATTTTGACTTTGGTCCTGCTAGATCAATTGACATAGATCACTTTGGGTCGGTTTGCCCTCTAGGGAGCTCTGTATTTTTCAGTGCAAATTAACTTCGCAAAAATATTTATTGTCTTATCATCTTATGTCCATAGGTCCAAATTGATAAACCAGTGCTTTTAATTTGTAGGATTATTCTTTATTATTTTTATGTATACTTTTTCGGTGATACTTTGGCCTCAGCCAAAGCTCGTAAGCTTATTAAAAAAAATAAAATGTACAAAGGATAATTGAATATCTAAAGATAACTTAATGAAAAAAAAGGAGAAAAAGAGGTAGACCGAGGACCCGCTGAAATTGGGGGAACGCTGTAAAGGATCGTAACAGACGGAAAGATATATTCCGGAAGGTCAAGCCAAAAAGGATCATAGAGGCCTCTAGAGCCAGGGAGTA